TACTTGGCCAATAATATATATAAAAATTAGCCGGGCATGGTGGCGCATGCCTGTAGTCCCAGCCACTCGGGAGGCTGAGGCAGAAGGATGCTTGAGCCCAGGAGTTTGAGGTTGCTGTGAGCTAGGCTGATGCCAGGCACTCACTCTAGCCTGGGCAACAAAGCGAGACTCTGTCTCCAAAAAAAAAAAAAAAAAAAAAAGTATACAAAAACAGAACTGTGGTTTCATTCCATAATTCTATACCCTTCATTTTCAATTATTGTCCCATCTATATCTAAGTTAGTAAATACACTAATATATATACATATGTATAACTACCTGAAACTAAGGGTACAGGTAATGGTAAATATTAGTGGGATAATATATTCTGTGTAAAAGTAATTTTTTATTTTTTTTTATTTTTGATTTTTTTTTAGAACATAGATAATGGAGTAAAAGTAGATTTTAAAAGTTTAATAAAACATGGCGGAGACTCACGCATGTAATCCTAGCAACCTCCTGGGGAGCCCTGAGGCTGGAGGATTGCTTAAGGTCAGGAGTTCAAGACCACCTGAAGCAGAGCGGGACCTGTCTCACTACTGAAAACAGAAAAATTAGCTGGCCAGCTAAAATAGGAACCAAAACATTAGCCAGGCATGGTGCTATGCACCTATAGTCCCAGCTACTTGGGAGACTGAGGCAGGATGATCTCTTGAGCCTAGGAGTTTGAGGTTGCTGTGAGCTAGGCTGATGCTGCGGCAGGCACTCTACCCAAGGTGACTTAATGAGACTCTGTCTCAAAAAATAAAAAAGTTAATAAAACAATTATATATAAGTTTTTTAACCTGTTTTTTTTTGTTTTTGTTTTTGACAGTCTTACTCTGTTGCCCGGACTAGAGTGCCGTGGCATCAGCTTTGCTCACAGCAACCATCAATCCTTCTGCCTCAGCCTCCCGAGTAGCTGGGACTACAGGCATGCGCCACCATGCCTGGCTAATTTTTTCTATATTTTTAGTTGGCCAATTAATTTCTTTCTATTTTTAGTAGAGATGGGGGTCTCACTCTTGCTCAGGCTGGTTTTGAACTCCTGACTTTGAGCGATCCTCCTGCCTTGGCCCTCCAGAGTACTAGGATTACAGGCATGAGCCACAATGCCCAGCCTGTTTTTTTTTTAAATGATAATGCCCAGTGTTAACAAGAGGGAGATTAAATTAGCATACATATACATGATACTTTAGAAAAGCAATTTGGCGTTATGCAAATAAAACCACAAATATAGTCAAACCATTTAAATCCCAGAAATCTCCCTGGAAGTTATCTGTAACTCTTTCTTCCAAATACAGGAATATTCAAATTTAAAGTAAAAGAAAAACTATATAAGGAAATATATTTATTATAATATTATTTATAATAGTAAAAAATATCATAAGAAAACTAAATGTACAATAGGATAATGGCTAAGTAAAGTGGGGCATACCCACTAAGGGAAATGGTTCACTATATGATGCTTATACCCCTGATTTTTTTTTTGGATCATGAAAGGTTAAGTGAGGTAGATTTTTTTTTTTTTTTTTTTTGAGAAAGAGTCTTGCTTTGTTGCCCAGGCTAAGCTAAGCTCTTGCTCAGGCTGGTTTTGAACTCCTGACTTTGAGTGATCCACCCACCTCGGCCTCCCAGAGTGCTAGGATTACAGGCTTGAGCCACCACGCTCAGCCAATAAATCAGTTTTTAAAAAGAAAACAAACAATTATAGTGCAATATACTCACAACTACATAAAAATATACATACGTTCAAAAAAGAATTCTGAGGCCGGGCGCTGTGGCTCACGCCTGTAATCCTAGCAAGATTCTCCAGAGGTGGAATAAAAAGGAAAATGTTTTATAAATATGAATCTATGACTTTTTTACTGCTTATATTTTTCAATTTTTGGTCATATGATTCTGATATTTATAATCTTTTAAGCTATTTAAGTATCAGCATAAAATTATTACAGAAAAATTCATGGCTTATATTAAGTGAACTTTAAGACCTAAATCTGAATTATTGATTCTTAATATTTCCATGGAGGAAATAAAGGGGGAAGACATTAAAGAAACCAATATAAGGCCGGGCGCAGTGGCCCACACCTGTAATCCTAGCACTCTGGGAGGCCTAGGCGGGCGGATCGCTCTGGGTCAGGAGTTTGAAACCAGCCTGAGCAAGAGCGAGACCCCGTCTCTACTATAAATAGAAAGAAATTAATTGGCAACTAATATATATAAAAAATAGCCGGGCATGGTGGCATGCTTAGTCCAGCTACTCGGGAGGCTGAGGCAGCAGGATTGCTTGAGCCAGGAGTTTGAGGTTGCTGTGAGCTAGCTGAAGCACAGCACTCATCTAGCCTGGCAACAAGCGAGATCTGTCTCAAAAAAAAAAAAAAGAAAAATATATTGAGAGACAGAAATCAGATTAGTTGCATATAAGATGAAAAGTAACTCTTGAGTGTCTCAGAGTAACTTATGTAAACTTGAAACTATAATAATTGTACAATGTTTAGAAAAAAGGTCCATAATGAAGATAAATGTAAATATTTTAATCAAGGTAAAAAAATTTTTTTTTAATTTGAGAGTATCCAGAAACAGGACCAAGGGTAAAATTTTTAATATCCCATCAAACACATTCATGTAAGTGTCATCTTAATAACATTCAAGGACATAATTGTAAAATGTTTAAGCTGCTAAAAGTAAAATTTTGGATGGGGAAAAAAGAACTATTGTTAGAAAAAGAATTCACATTTTGATGTATTAACTTTCATAACATTCTCATAAGAGATTATTTCTGCGCAGATCAGTGGTTCATGCCTACAAGTCTAGCACTTTGAGAGGCCATGCAGGAGGACACTTGAGGGCCAGGAGTTCTGACAGCCTGGGCAACGTAGTCAGATCCATCTTTACCAGAAGAAAAAAATTAGCCAGGCACGGTGATGTACATCTGTAGTCCCAGTTCTCAGGAGGCTGAGGCCAGAGGTCACTGGAGGCAGCAGTTTGATGTTGTAGTGAGGCTAGGATCATGCCACTGCCCTCCAGCCCAGGCAACAGAGCAAGAGCCTATCTCAAAAAGAAAAAGGAATTATTTTCTATTCTAAAAATTACACAACTGAACACTTACCTCCTTTCAGCACCTACAAAAAGAATAAATGTCGTAGATCCTCGGCAATAACTTCTTTGCGCTTTGGAAGCTCCATGGGATTGATAGATATATAGAGATGAAATATAATTTGTTTAAGTCTCTCCCTAAAAGGAAAAAAATCTCATTAGCCCCTCAAATAAGAGATTTTTTACACATAATTAATTGTAACTTAAAATGTGCCTGTGCTTTTCCCTTATTATTTCATTTAATCATCACAACCATCTACCAGGTGGTTATTAATATCCTTGTTCTGCAGATAAGAAAACTGAAGTTTGAGAGGGTAACTAGTGATTGTAATAAAATAAAATGTTCTCCAGTAGCAACTATGTATGCTATGTCTAAAAATAGAGAAACTTTCATAGCCTGATTGAGAAAACTATCAAATGCTGGCATATAATTTCCAGTTCTAGTCACAGTTGCACTAGAAATTCAAAGGAAAGAAAGGGAAAGGAAAGGAAGTGAGACTAGTCAATGTTCGAAGACATTTGATGAAAGATTTCTTAGAGAATAAAATTGAATCTTGTCTTAAAAATTAAATGGATGGGTATTTTTTATTTTCTCATGATCTCTCCTATTACCAATTAACATGGAAAATTCAGTAAAAGAATCATTTTGATCTTCAGCTGGCCCATATGAAAAAGATGCACAAATCCTTTTTATGATGAAAGAATTTTGTAACACTACCTCACTGAAAATGTTTCCTATAATATCACACGTGACTCATTCACTGTAAGCCATAATCAAAAGACAAGATTTTCTCTCTTTAATTTAAACTTGGCTGTGCTTAACAGAACCGCCTGCCTCTCTCTAAACCCTCTTGCGTGGATGCCACCACTCTTCCAGCTGTCCTCCTGCCTCTCTGACCCGTCTCCTCAGTCTATGTCATTGACTCCTCCTTCTCAGGGTTCTATCTCATTCTCCTCAATTTTCACTCTGACCACTTCTCTGGGCTTTAAGTACCACCTCTGTGATAATTCCCAAATCCACATCTTTAGTCTCAACCTTTCTCCTGAACCTATCCCCATGTATTCATTCAACATCTCTACTCGAATATTGCTCAATTACCTTACCAAT